ATGCGAGTAGCCGCGCGTAGTCAACTTGCGATCTGCGCTTATTCACATGCTTACTGAGAGCTCAACCCGCCACATCCGCACTCTGCAATCTTTCCTCACCAATCGCTTGAATGATAGAAGATGACTCTGCAGCCTCCCCTTGCGCAAGCGATGTACAAATCGCATTCGAGTCTATGTGACGTGCCGATAACGGCTGACTTAGACGCCCATGGTGGCTGATATGTCTACGACGTGGAACACTCAGGGACATCGTTGGTAGTTATATAGACCTACAGCCCTATACCTGGCAGTATAATCATCTTTTGATCTCATTCACGAAGCCGCGACGATGTTCAGCCGCCCGTTCGAGTTTGTCGCGTCAGGTGAAGACGACCTCATCCCACTCGTTGACCCTTCTTTCACATTCAAGACGTATGCAAAAGAGACGAACCCATTCGACGTTCTGACGGGTGCAATTACGCATTGTGATGAGGCACTTTCCGACGAAGCCATTTCTCCATCTAGCATGTGGTCAGCATCAAGTCGTCCAAGCAGCAGCCCGTCCGCAGCACCAGAGACGATACTGCTAATCGCTACTGTTCCAGCCCGTCGCACCCTAGCCAAGGCGAACACATTTCCATCGTACAAACCAAAGTCGACTTCGAAAGTCCGAGATCAACGAGAAGCGAGAACGACGATACTTGACCTTGTGCCCATTGAAGAAGCGCAGACCTTCAGACTAGAGGGCTCTTTCATATACGCCACCAAGACGCAGAACGTCCCGCGATACCAATTGCATCGAGACTTCGACCGCGACGGATCGGTATCGAAGTTGCGTATCCGCGCGGTCCTTCCACGCGAAACGCGATCATATTCAGTACCAGCCACACATACGGCACGCGACCAAATAATACCCTACAGTAGCGAGGAAACGCTATATAGCATAGATGAATTCGAGATGCGCGGCAAGAAAGCTGGAACACTTCTCGGAAGTATCCAGATGACTTCTGGGGAGTCACTATGGGGCGGCCAGTGGACGCGCATCTGGCATGTTACTAAATGCAAAGCTCAACATCATGTGTGCGATTACCGGGGTGCATGTGAACCTGAGAAACATCTGTTGTACTGTGTGAAGAAGGGGGTGTGGGAGGATGCTGAAGGGGTGGCTGTTGCACGGGAGGAGACTGGGAATGATGCTGCGGATACATGTCTTTCGGTGGTGAAAACGAAAGTCGAAGTGAATGGGAAGGACCATTTGTTGGAGATGACGGATGAAATTGAGAAGGATGGGAAGAAACGCGACTTGGTGGTGGCGTGCTGGGTGATGAAGTTGTGGATGGCGGAGGAACTCCGGTGGTAGGGAAATTGAACGCGGAGAGAGACGCCGAGTAGGACGCAAGGCGTCCAATTTCAGGCCGAAGAGTAATTGCAGATCTATAGGAGTTATCTTAACTAGTCGGTGGAACGTTGTAATCGCTTTGCATGCGTGCAGTGTTCTTGATGCAAAGGAATCAAAGTGCATCACGTGATATTGTGAGCTACGCCAGCGGGCGCGCCCTCGACACGTGGTGACAGCTGTCAGAAGCCCCTGCATAATACAGTAGTATAGTATATACGAATTCAGGTCGCTAGTTGTTCTTCCAAAAGCAAGCATCTGCGTCAGCATCGAAGACCGAAAAATGGAGTTGGGCAGGTCAAGCGTCGTGATAGCGCGTCTTCCGGCGCGCCTGCTAGACCGAGCGCCACAGCCAAGGGGTGAGAGCCACCGCCTCATCCATCCATCATTCCCGGGATCATCGCTCAGAGGGGCATTCGCGACTTTGGCGATTGCGACCACAATGACTTGATTATTTCACCTCAAAGACTTTGTCTAATTCAATGCCCTAAAATTCCCTCAACCAAACCTCAACTTCTAAGTTTGGCGGTCGAAGCCCTATCGCCGCGATGCCGCTCATCACCCCCTCGCGGCTCGCCATCATCATCGTCTCCTTTTCGCTCTTGACTTTCTTCTGGACTTTTGGCCTACCGCAACAGACGCCTCAGCCCACGATACCCGTCATCGACCATTACGACCACAAGAATGTGCATACCGAGCCAATAATACCGCCGCCCGTCATCGAGACTCCGCACGCGACATCCACGCCGATAGCACATGGCGATCATCCGAAGGAGACAGATGATCACAGATGGGACGATAAGGGAGCGCAGGGTGGAAAGGGAAAGACAACACCACCCGCGCCTACCGAGACGGGTGTTGCGGAGTATGAGGAAGATGGCGGAAGATGGGAGGATAAAGAAAAGTTGAAGGGTGGTGATAATTCGGGGAGCTTACCGGGCTCAGGCGCAATGGCAGCGCCTACAACACTAGCCACTGAGGCGATACCTGCGTCGAAGAGTCCGATTGCGGCCAAGCCGGACGTCGCGCCTACGAAGCCCGCAGAAGCCGCCATTCCTACACACGCAGTCGAGAAGTTCTGCAACGACGCCGACGGAGCGAAAGACGTCATGGTCGTCCTTAAGACATCGAAAGCCGAGATCGAAAAGCTCAACAGCCACCTGAGCAATCTGCTAGCCTGCGTTCCCACCTTTGCCATCTTCAGCGACCACGCCGGCGAGTTCCAAGGACACAAAGTCCACGATGCGCTCGATTCCATTAGCGGCGAGACCAAGTTCAAACACAAAGAATTCCAGGAATACCAGCTCATGCATGCTGATGCAGAGCACAAGCCAGACCTGAAGAAGCTGGAGGAGCTGGAAAAGTGGAAGTTCCTGCCCATGGTGTACAAGGCGTACCACATGAACCCCAGCGCCAAATTCTTCGTCTTCATCGAAGCCGACACGAGCCTGAGCTGGACGAACCTGCTACAATGGCTGAACAGGCTGGACTATCGGATACCGTACTACAGCGGAGCGCCCTACTACATCGCGGGCACGCAGGTGGCGCAACGCGGAGCAGGCATCATGATGTCTCAGGGTGCGCTGCGACGGTACTCCAAATCTTACGATGAGCTCTACACAACCAAGTGGGAACCGGACAACGGCGAGCAATGCTGCGGCGACTTGATGCTAGCGAAGGCGCTCGGCGACGCACACGTGGAATTCTACGCTTCTTGGCCACTTCTCCAGAGTGAGCAGCCAAGTACACTTGATTACACCAGGAAGCACTGGTGTGCTCCTGCGGTGTCATGGAATCACCTTGGTGGAGACCAGCTCACGAGGCAGTGGGATATTGAGAAGAAGTGGACCACCGCGAATGGCTGGAAGAAGCCATATTTGTACCGCGACGCGTACCACGATTCAGTAGAACCGCACATCGAAACGCAGAAGGTGGGCTGGGACAACCTCAGTCAAGACACCAAGATCGTCGCGCCAGAAGGACGTCGACAAAAGCTCAAAGACGACGCTGCGAAGAAGGAGAAAGAAAAGGAGGAGCAAGACGCCGAAAAGAAAGAGAAAGAGAAGGGTGAGCAAGACACGGCCAAGGAAGAGGCGAAGCCGAAAGCAGAAGACAAGACCCAGCAAGACGACAAGAAAGAAACCGCCAAACTCAAACTCGACACCGCCCCACCACCCGACTCCCGCGTCTTCCAAGAAGCCGGCGCCCTCCCCACCTCAAACAGCATCTCCAAGCGCGAAGACAAGAAAGGCGACAAAAAGGACGACAAAAAAGGCAAGGACATGAAGGAAGACAAGAAAGAACCACCCAACTGGGACAAGCTCGCCGAGAAACACCCCGACGCAGCAGATAGCTCCGAGCGCTGCCAGGCCGTCTGCTCAGAAGTCGAGGACTGTCTGCAATGGCGGTATACGGCCAAGGGGGAGGGGGAGTGCCATCTCAGCAAGGTGATTCGGTTGGGTGGGAAGGTGGGGGATGAGGAGTGGACGAGTGGGTGGGAGGTTGAGAGGATTAATGGGATTAAGAAGGAGTGGGCGTGTAAGGAGGTTAAGTGGAGGTTTTATCAGTGAGGGGGATGAGATAGGCTGAAGGGACACGATGGAGTGGATGGGTAGATTCGGGAAAAGAATGGCGTTTTTGGTGTTTGTTTGGAAAGAATGGGATTGAGATAAGAGCTTTTGTATAGTGTCGAGCTACTCTCTGTTGGAAACTCGAAAGCTTTGGAGGACGCGAAGTGGTTGTATATACCCTTTTTTGTTAATGTATATGGTCATGGCATACTGTGTATCACGAGGATGTAGACGGTCATGACAAGATATTTCTGAGCTCGAGTTGAGTGAAGGTGGTACCGCACACACGAGGTGGGTCTACCTTTTTACAACCACGGCTTTGTTCTGTCGCTACCACGTCACGCATATGTAGCCAAACACTTCTTTCAGCATATATATGTCGCCGCGTATGATATTCACTTTTCGCTTTTCTCCATCGCAAACAGGATCACCCGGGGCTACTTTCACTCTTCGACAACGACGACTTGTCCGTTCATCAATCTACATTACACAACTGCTTCTCACTCCTCTCCAAACTCCGACGTTACTCAAAAAGGTACAACTAGCTTGTATAGATACGAGAATTTTCACTGACAACTTGGTTCTTCTAGAATTAACCGACGATGCTGCTAGCTCGAGTCTTCGGTCATTCCCAAATGCGAGCCCTCTACGGACGCTTTCCTCCTCCCAGAGGCTCGATAATCTTTGGATTGGCATGCTGCTGGGGTCAATGGAAGATGGACAAGGCACGACTGGAAAGACGGAAAGGAAAGGTCGCGAACATAATGGGAGTGGTCTAGACGACGGACCTGGCAATTCAAACCTGGAAGCCGATCATCAAAATCTCTTCAAGTCAACAAGATCACCATACAAACTTCGTCAGCCTTCTAAGTATACCTCTGGTGCATATGAGCGAAAGTGTACACCCCAACGTTCCTGCCTTCCTGCGCTTGACCTGGAACGGCAGGCGCGATACGCCTTCTTGGCAACTTCCCTTCTGCCGGCATATCCATCATTGTTGATCCCGATCCACTTACAGTACGAACTGTCTCTTGTACACTCACCTTCCGTATACCATGGAGTCCGCCGCCCTCTCCCAACTCAAAACCCTTCTAGCCGCCGCCCCAGCCCTCCGCACTCAACTCAGCAACACCGAGCGCCTCCAACTCAGCGGTTTAGCCGAAGCGCTCAGGAACGAGTTGGAAAGACCGGACGAAGCCATATTCCGGGTGACGTTCAACGAAGTACGTCGTATAAGTCATGGTAGTCTTTTCCGGGTTTGCGGGGTTGTGACTACTGCATTTGGTCGACTAGCGCTAACCACGGATGAAATGCAATCAGCCTGGACATTATCTCGCTACTCGACTCGCTTTGCAATGGGGAGTTTTTGAGGCGTTGGGTGATGTTGGTGAGAAGGGAGTGTCGTGTGAGCGGATTGCTGAGGGTGCGGGGGCGGATGCAAGATTGGTCGGTATGTGTGCACTATCGCAAACTATAACAAATGCCCCCAAGATTGGCATGCGGAACTAATTGGATGAACGGGAGATCTTTGTCTCATGAAATGATACTAATGAAGAACGTACAGCACGCTTCCTACGCCATCTAGCAGCAAACGGCACGATCCGCGAAGTCGAGCATGATACCTACGCAAGCACTCGCCTCTCAGCTTCTTTGCGACAAAAGTCGTTCAAAGATGCTATTCACTTCATGTAAGCCCCAAACTTATACTTCCACGCACATACATACGTATCGATGCTCATACCACACCCACAACAGGTTCGACGACTTCTACAACGTAGGCTGGCGCGTCCCCTCATTCCTCGACTCAATCTCTCACTGCAATCCATCCGATATCAACAACGGCCCATTCCAACACGCCCATGGCTTCTCTAACAAGTCTCTTTACACGTATTTCGACGAAGACGCGGCAATGGGAGAGCGCTTCGGCGGAATGATTCAGATGTACAACGCTGGTAAACCTTTCTATTGGGAAGATGGGTACTATCCATTCAAAGAGCGATTGGTGGTCGGTGGACCCGTGTCTGACGAGGAGGTACTACTTGTTGACATCGGAGGCGGCGATGCGGGTGATTTAGGCCTGTTGAGGAAAGCGCTTGGAGGAGATATCAAGGGTCGACTTGTGCTGCAGGAGTTAAAGCATATTGTTGATAAGAGCGAGCAAGATGGGTTTGAAGCACATGTGGGAGACTGGAATGAGGTTCAGCCTATTCAAGGTACATTCTTCTGGTCATACTATGACCCTACATGTGCGGCGCTAACGGTCCTTGACAGGTGCGAGAGCCTATATGCTCCAACATATTCTCCATGACTTCAGTAGCGATGACGCATGCCGCCGTATCCTGAGCAATATCGTCCCCGTTATGAAGCCTGGCTACTCCAGACTCCTCATCAAAGAGCTTCTAATACCCGATCGAAACGCACCATGGGCATTTACGGCCATGGATGTCAACGTCATGCAATCGCTTTCCGGACAAGAGCGAACTGAGTCGCAGTTTCGCGAATTGCTTGAGTCGGTGGGACTGAAGATCGAAGGTATTTGGAGTCATGAGAACGCGTTGGACGTTGTTATTGAAGCCTCACTGCTCTAGAAAAAGGCCTTTCCCTATCTACACCAACTTCTAGTCGGAATTAGATAATTCTTCACTCGGCACAACATACTTCCTCCATCCCTCCTCCATATCCGCTTCCCTCCAAGTTTCCATACCACCCACCACCCCATTCTCATCGACTTTCCAGTCCCCTCTTTCCACCATACCCAGCCAACTCTCCAACACCCCCGCCAGACTTTGCGCCTGGAAGTCCTCAAGCGCCCATCTTCCAGGCTGATACAACTCTGTGAAGCTATCTTTCCCACGCCAATCCTCTCCACCCGCGAACTTCGTTCCATCACCTCGCCTCGCAGACCCTTTCCCACCAATAGCGTATGGCAGAACGAAAGAGATCCCGTCTTCCATACTCCTATGATTAGTAGGCAGTAGGTACAAGCCAGAAGGATAGACCTTGACATCGCGGTAGTCGAAGAAGTTCGGTACCATGGCGTCGTCTGGACTTTGCGGAGTCCAGGTTAGGTCTTCGAAGAATTTTAGGTCGGACTAGAAGAGCAAGATAGGTAGCACTTCTTCTTTGTCTTTGGACATGTAGGAGCGGAAGGGTTGGTCCGGAAAGTCTGCGGATGTGATAATGCGGAGACCGGGAGCTATCATCTTAAAGCGAGGCCGGCGGGCGCGGAAGAGGAAGTTGAATGCGAATCGCTGAGGGATGTCTATTTTGTCACGTATGTTGTCGTCCAACAGGCCGTACATGGGTCGGCCGGCTGGTTGTGGTCTACTCGCTGTAGGCATGCGGCTCTCGATTGCTTCAACAAGCTTCTCCCATACATCAAGGTTGTACTTGAGCATATTCTCATTGTACGGCACAAAAACCCAAGGCGCGTGTTCCCAGTACTCGCCGAACACTTCAGGTCACTCTTCTCGAAGTCTCCCTCCTTTTTCCGGTGCGGCCTGGATGGTCTCTTTGCGAATTTGAGAGAGCCAGAAGGTAAGTATGGCCTCTAATGGGTACCACCTCTGAGTACTGATACCGTCGGTATCGTATATAGTGAGACTGAGAGTACAAAGATTGGTCTTTTGGTCATATCTGTCTTTGTGAGCTCGTTGTTCCGGTAGAAAAGCAACATGAAGTCTCTTACATCAATCCACAGATGTGCCCTGTATCGAAATGAGCCGCAGCATACAGAACTAAGCGCCTTCCCTCATCATCGTCTTTTTCCTCGTCACCTTGATCTTCCTCGTTACCTTCCTGTTCCTCATCACCTTCATCTTCCTCATCACCTTCCTCATCACCTTCCTCATCACCTTCCTCATCACCTTCCTCATCACCTTCCTCATCACCTTCCCCCTCCTCCTCGTCATTCTTGTAGTCGTAATCCCACAACATGTCTTCAAACTCGAACATGTACTCAGGGTGAGACAGGCCCTGAACCCAGTAGAAGAACTCGGGGTAGAATCTTTCTTCTTCTACGCGCGGAATCTGGACTTGCTCGAGGAATTGGACTAGGTCAGGTGAGAGTGCAGACCGTTCGGCTTCGGCTTCCTCGCCGAATACTTCGAACCAAGATTTGCTATGCGACGCGAGTGTATCTGCGGAGCGGCCTGAGCCGACCCAGCCATGTCGTACGATTTAGTTGTGGAGAGAGATGCAGCGTTCGGCGTTCATGGCTGATAGGACGATGGGGCATTGAGGGAAGGCAAAAAGAGATATCGGAAGCGGGTTACAATACATGTCTGGGCTACCGGCTCTTTATATGGCAATTGCGATTGATAGTTTTATCGAGAAAGATGCTACGCAAGACTACAGCGCATAGACGAAGACCTAGGCTGGAAAGGAACTAGTAGCCAAGACGGGCGGCTCGGAAGCGAAGTTCAGGAGAAGAAGGTAGCAAATATATGGAAAGACTAGAATATGTGCATGTGGTGCAGGCGGCGATGAGCGAAGCGGTGTTCCTGTCTCTCAGGCGAGGTTGTCTCGTTTACAAGGTGAATGCCGACCACCAGGCCTCGCATGGCGATATTTCAGCGACAGGGTAAGATTGAGAAGTCATCTCTCTCACTCTTTGGGAGCCTACACCCCGAAGGGCAGGTAAGAGACAGTGGACTGCAAGTGATAATATATTTGAAGCCTTTGGTATTTCTCCTAATCTCCACACTCCATCTCTCTCTACCTCTACGATCGGATCAACCTCGGAGTCAGGCAACAGTATGCCACCCAAGAGATCCCACGCCGAGATGTCGGCTACAGGAGATGAGCCGTCTGCGCTGGATTCTTGTCCGCAGGGAGAGCAATTGATGGCCATGTGAGTGGCTCCGTTCTCCGCTGAATGGCACTTTGCTGACTGCATCGAAAAGCATACAACGAGAGAATAAAGTGATCGAGATATGCGTGGGTGGCAATGACACCAGATCAGGTTCCATCCTCCTGCTCCGTGAGAAGCTACATTCCGTCTGTCCCAGCGGTCGCCGCCCTACATACCGCCAGGGTGGAGTTGATGGCATACCGAAAGTGGTGCTTTCCAGAAGCCACTGTCTCGAGGTACTTGGTCTGTTCGTACAGTGGCTTTACACTGGAAAATACAACGAGTTGAATGGTCCAGTCAAGAGCCTTGACCGTGGCATCCAGACTCCCCTCCTGGACATGTGCGAGTCTTACGGAAAAGACACCATGGAATGGACAGTCAAGGCTGCGGTACTGGCTTGGTCCATGGGTAAAGAGCTTCAAGTACCCTCGTTCCAGAATTACGCAATGAAACGCCTCTTCGCCGCTTTCTCACGCCCTTCCGAACGACCGCTACTCACACCAGCCTTGTATGAATACGTCAAGAAGCTGGAATTCAGACTCTATCTCGGGGATATGGCCTTCCGGAGTGAATGGAAAGACAAGGGGCCACTGGAGCGGGCGCTAGGCGTAACCATCATTCGAAATTGGGGCGACAAGGCTATTGTTGATCAAGAGGAATTGGAATCGTGGTCCGATTTGTTCAGATCATGCGACGCATTCCGGGACAAGTTCCTCGAAGGATCTTTACTGTCGCTCGAAGAGCGTCGTGAGAAGACCCTGATGGCGGAAGACTATTTCGTCGCTGTGCCCAAGAGCAGGACTGTGCCGAAGTCATCATTGGTGATAACGCGAAAGGATTGACGACATGGCCCTCGTCTGGGATGGAGGTCCCGCCAAAAGCGATTGATATTTTTGAGGATTTACCTAGCATTTGAACTTTTGATTGGTTTCCAGGAGTATCCGAGGTGCTTGTTTTAGTTGGTCTATGACTACATACCTACTGCGACTATTGCGCGAAGCTCAGAGTGACGCGGCAGTGACTCGTGGTATGTGCATAATTGGCAGCGACGATGGTACAGCTCATCATGAAGTCACAAAAGTGGTGGTGAAGTCGTCGCAAGGCCGAACCGCCAGATCGCTCTCCCGCCCCGAACGCGCCAAGACCCAGAACACCTGACCGCGCGCACTCTCCCCAACACCCACATCACCACCAATACAAACCTCATCTCACTTTACCCTGAATCAAATCCGAAAAACAAGCTTCCCTCAACAAACGCATCACCACGTACTCAACTAAATCAACTCGGTCAACCATTGTTTCAAGCCCAGCCTCACCGCCAGTAACGCCGGCGTCCCAGCCACGCCAGCCCCTCCGGCCCATGGACGCGACCCAACCACCCACGCGGCGCACGCACCCCGCCACGTCTGTACAAAAGTGCCTGCATGCCACCTGCAGAATGGACTACGACTTGGCTTGCAGATTTCCTCGCTGATATTATTAACTCGATTCCCCTCACACACCATCCTACTTTTCGAGTTCCTTCGTACTACCTACCATCTTACTATCGCTATCCTTGGTCATTCGATTGCTTCCAGGATACCATCGCTTGACTACTGAGTGTTGCTTGGACGATAGCGAGCTTGGACACCACCACGACCGCGTTATACAAAACCATTGATTGTTTGCGCTGAGATTACAGTGCGCATACAATTACTGCAACGTTTACGAAGGGGGATTTACTGACTTTACTACAGAAGACTATCGCATCGCATTACTACACAACAACACCACCACCACCAATACCAACCACACAACTACTCCAACAACCACCACAGCCAACGAGACCCCCTCGTCCCCACCGCCCACACCCGCAACCATGCAGCGCAACATCGTCATCTTCCTCATCATCCTCATCCTCTTCATCCTGATTGCCGCCATCGCATACCTCATCTACTACCTGCAGACGCGCATGGCTGTCGGCGGCACCGCGTCGTCTGTTTCGGATATGACTGAGAACGTGTAAACGCCTCACCACATCATACACACACACAACACAACGCAATGATTATACAACAAAAACAGTTTGGAAGGAAGAGACCGACATTTTACGACGCTATGACTACAGTACAACATCAGACAACACATCACCGGAGACAAAGATGATGTGATTACGCATTTACATCGGCGTTATAGGCAGTTGCATGGCTATGCGACTTGCGCCTTGGAGTTTATTGTACGCGAGAACGAGATAATGCGATTGAAGATTGAAGAAGCCATATTAGATTGGCATGGGCCGAATTGGGATACCCGCAACGTTATTACGGAGCTTATTGTTATGTTTGTATATACAATTGCGCATGGAAAGAAGTGGAATGAATCACATACTCAAAGTTACTTAAAACCATTTCTCTTGATTGCCTCGTCTGTGAACTATTTCGACTTGATTTGACTTGAGCCTCTAGTCACAACTTGGGAGAGAGAGAATTTAGTACTGGAAAAGCGCATGCCAACCACAATGGTGTGCTGACATGGACTTGCAAGGGCACGCGATCATGTTCACTGGGCGTTGTAGGTCATATCTTAGGCGTATGTATAAACGTTGTAAAATTTGAACGATACCAGATACACGGCACAAACTGGAACCGCTTGAACGAAGCCTTGATACTCCAGTATTCCCTTTCCGTACCTATCCAAAGAAGTTCTTATAATACATTTGATGCCTATACGCCGTACCCAGTAGACACATGTGTACCCTTGTGCAGCTGATCCGAATCCTCTTCAGCCCCCAAGCGCATCAGAGGATTGGAAGATGAAAACTGCTCCGTGGGTATCAACCGGGACACGGTTGGTGGTTTGCGCAAAGGAGGAGGAGGTGTGATGGGAGATACGGTCGGCGACTGGAGGAACGATAGAAGAGGTGTGATGGGTGACCATGTCGGGGAACGGAAGTTTTTGGGTAGCATCTTCGCGTAAGGCATCGCGGGGGCGAAATCGAATCGAACTTCACCGGAAGGGAATATCTTGATCGGCAATTTCGGTTTCGGGTACTACTCGACTTAAGCGGATTAGTCGTCGTTCATCACTGTGTCGTTGGTGTCGTCACCATTGAGAGGCTCGTCCACGTTCTCGGTGAAGACTAGGTGGCTTTCGTAGTATTCGAGCATCTGCGAGATGTTAGTATGGTGAATGATATCCAGAAAGCATTTTTGACGCACCTTTTGTGGACACTTTTGGTAGACGTGCTTGAGAGGGTGCTGTGTCTTTTGCTTATTCGTCCACACCAGGTATGCAAACTTCTCCAGTTGGCCCGTCTTGGGGTCCTTCGTTTGCTCCACCGTGTCGATGTGGTCGACGTCGTGTTCCCATGAGCCTGGTGGTGGGCTCCATTCTGCCACTTTCTTCTCTGGCTTGTCGGCCTTGGCGCGCTTCGTGGAGGACGACGGGGTGCCGGACTCGGATTTGATGCCGGCGGTCGATGGTCGTCCCTTCCGCTTCTGGCCCTTGGGTTCTGGTCGGCCTCCGATCTTCTTAAAGTACTCGTTCAGCACATCAATGGCTCCCTCCCTGCGAGTGTCAGTCTCAACCTAGTACAGAGCAATGCCGCAACGAACATGTTCTCCTCTGCCTCCCATGTCCGGTCCTTGGGGTCGTCATAGCCTTCCCATTTCACGTCGAATTGGAGGACGCCCTGGTGTTGTCAGTGTTTGCGCGTGGGAAAGAGGTGGTGTTTGCGCGCACCTTTGTGAATCTGTGGCCGTGAATGGCCTCAACGACGTATCTGTCGCATTGTCAGCACGATGCGATCCATGTACATATGAATTTGCGCGTACTCGTCCTCTCCCACCTCACTGTCATCCTCGTCCTCTTCGTCGTCTATGGGATCCTCCTGCACCGGCTGCTTTCCCTTTCCCTTTCTTGGCTGCGCGGAGACGTCTTCGGCGTCCGAGGACCCGTGATCGCTAAGAGCGGCTGCGCGAGTTAGCAGCTGGATATGACGCGTGTGGTGATTGTTTGGACGGGCGGGCGCGACTCACGAGGCATGTCGAATCGCTGTCGCTATGAATGGGAAGTGGAGATAACGCGGATGAATAGCTTCGTGAAGCTTGAGGCGATTCGGATAAGCGCGATTGGGAGCCCGCGATGCGCTGGGGATGGGTGTGGTGGCAGCTCGGGGCAGCAAGCGTCAGGGCAGTTCGGAGAGTTGGAGCTGGCGGAAGGCGCGTTCGCGACTCGCGGCCGTGCACCCTGATGCCAAGCCCCTCTGGGGAAATTTCAAGACCGACATGGCAGCTGTTTGGCTATACCCCACCACCCCTCACTACCAAACATACCCGGGATTCTCTCCTAGTGTGTGTCTGTAGTCTGATACTTCTTCGGAGTCGTGCATTTGTTACTCCAGCGGGCATTTTCACACCGCAAAGATGCGTAAGTGCGGGCAGCAACAGCTCCGAACTCCCAAGCCCCAGTAGTGAGATATATATGCTAACTTTATACAATTACAGAGGTCGACCTTTCCAACGGTATGCGTCCGAATCTACTACGAAACGCCCACGAATCAACGGCTGACAAAGTGGGGTACAGCGCAGGTGATGAAGGATGAATCGGGCAGGCCATTCATCATTGTCAGAGAGTACGTGGAATGATATGGAGAAAGCTCAAGGCTCTATAAGAGGCAGCAGCTAATATCCGGGACAGCCAAGGCAAGAAGCAGAGGCAACACGGCAACGATGCGGTCAAGTCCCACATCCTCGCGGCCAAGACGGTCGCGAATATCGTCAAGAGCTCTCTGGTACGCACCACCGGCCGAATCGAGGAAACAAGGACATACACTTATGAGATTTAGGGACCCCGAGGACTGGACAAAATCCTGATTTCGCCCGACGGAGACATCACAGTCACAAACGACGGCGCTACCATTCTTTCCCAGATGGAAATCTCCAACCACGTCGCGAAGCTACTAGTCGAACTATCCAAATCACAAGACGACGAGATTGGTGACGGAACAACTGGTGTCGTAGTCTTGGCGGGCGCACTCCTCGAGCAGGCAGCAGACCTTATCGACAAGGGCATCCACCCCATCAGGATAGCAGACGGTTACGACCAGGCTTGCGAGGTTGCCGTGGCCAAGCTCGACGAGGTCAGCGACGAGATCCACTTCTCCAAGGACAACACCGAAGAGCTGTTCAAGGTCGCAAAGACAAGTTTGGGCAGTAAGATCGTCTCCAAGGCGCACGACCAGTTCGCCAAAATCGCCGTAGATGCTGTGCTTTCGGTCGCAGATCTCGAGCGGAAAGACGTCGATTTCGAGCTCATCAAGGTTGACGGCAAGGTCGGTGGATCGCTCGAAGACACATTACTTGTCAAGGGTGTCATAATAGACAAGGACTTTTCGCATCCCCAGATGCCGTCGGAGGTCAAGGACGCCAAACTCGCCATCCTCACATGCGCGTTCGAGCCGCCGAAGCCCAAGACCAAGCACAAGTTGGACATTACCACCGTAGAGGAGTTCAAGAAGCTACAAAACTACGAGTCAAACAAGTTCACCGAGATGATTGAGCAGATCAAGAACACCGGCGCCAACGTAGTAATATGTCAGTGGGGTTTCGACGACGAGGCCAACCATCTTCTCCTCACAAACAAGCTCCCCGCTGTACGGTGGGTAGGAGGCCCGGAGATCGAGCTGATCGCCATCGCAACCAACGGACGCATCGTTCCCCGTTTCGAGGACCTCAGCGCAGAGAAGCTCGGAAAGGCTGGTATTGTCCGGGAACTGACTTTCGGAACCACCCGCGACAAGATGCTGGTAATCGAGGAGTGTGCCAACACAAGGGCTGTCACCGTCTTCGTTCGCGGTAGCAAC